ACTATTAGTGGAATCATGATCTAATAATGTTTTGAGGACATAGGTAGTCACATTAATTATCCAATCTCATTGAAACTTTATGTTTCTGTGCTTATTTCCTTGGTTCTACTCTTTTTTTTTTTTTTACTATCACGATTTGGTGTTATTTATTTTGTATTGTTGCTATTATGCTTTATATGTGCAGCCGATAAATTTATACCTGAGTTGCTCATAAAAAGCCAAAGGTTTCTTTTACCTCTAGAGTGGGTGTTGAAGGTTATAATTTTATATTATATTCAACACTCTTGCAACTCATAATGCGATTATTAGAGAGAGCAAATTATCAGTGAGCGTTCCTAACATTACTTTCATCATCAGCCTAAGTCGTTATTGTAAACTTTCGTTAAATCTTGCTAATGTACCAATACAAAGAAGCAAAAACTTGTAATTTGACTAATTTTATGCTAATGCGACAGTGATGTGGTGGGACAAACTTAAGACTTTCAAGATTTTTTGGCTGACATGGGAATGATGTCACAGGGCCCCATCATCGTCGCGTCAGCAATATTTAGCGAAAGTTTGTAGAAAGAATCTAGGATGATAATGGACGTAATACTAAGAACATTCACCAACGGCTTCCAAACATTAAGGACTCATATGATATTTGATCGATATATGAGAGAGGGGCATTCACTCTTGCCAGTTTAAAATTTTTCAGTGAAGTGGCACGGTAATAAAAGAAGGGGTTTTTACATGGAAATCACCTTTGCAATGTCACACGTTTTTTATAATTCCTGTTGAAAAAAGACGTGCACTCCCCATTTTACTCACACCCTAAGCACGTGGAAAGTTGGTGAGAGCCCTCTTAATTCATCCTTAACCAAGATTATCGTTAGGATTAAGGCTAAGGGTACTTCCCTCTTCCCTCACTTTTATCTACCTCCATGAAACTTGCCCCAGTTTTAGAGAAGGAAGAAATTGAGAGGAGAAAAGGGCTAATATTTGGGGGACTAACTGCAAAATATGATGATTTTGTGGACTGTATCAAAACATGAAAGAATTAGAGGGACTAATATTGAAAATCCCTTATTTTTTATAATTAATTAAGGTACATGTGCTTAGCGTGAGGGTATTTTTGAAGCGCGAGTGTTTTTTAAACTAAAATTGTAAAAACGTGTTACATTGCAAAGATAATAACAACTAAATGATCAGGGAAATAAACAAGAAAAAAAAGGGGAAAAAATCAAAAAGATGGTTTCCATCAATTTAAGTGAAAGTTACGGGGCTTTCCATGGTAAAAACCCTAAAAGGAGAGTCCTTTTTTATATAGAAATTGCTTCTTTTACTTCCATCAGAAAGATCATTTCGATTCTACGGTCAAACGGAATATAGAAGAAAATTGACTCCCTCTTCGTTAGACAGACTGATTTACCTATAAAAAATGATAGGGGCACACCCTCAACCATATCTCTAACCACACATACTCTCTCATTTGCTACAGTACACTAGGCCCCACATGTAATTTTAAATTTTTAAAATCACATGTGGGACCCGGTGTACTGTAGCAAATGAGAGAGGGGGTGTGGTTGGAATTTTAAATTTTTAAAATCACATGTGGGACCCGGTGTACTGTAGCAAATGAGAGAGGGGGTGTGGTTGGAGGTGTGGTTGGGGGTGTGCCCATGTGGGACCCGGTGTACTGTAGCAAATGAGAGAGGGGGTGTGGTTGGAGGTGTGGTTGGGGGTGTGCCTCTAGTGCCACCCTTTACCTATTGCTTATTCACCAGCAAGGTTGGCGACAAAGAAATAGGACACTGTAACTTGAGGAAAATCATGAAACTCTTCAGTCTGTCTCTTTAGTTTATGAAACTCTTGAGTTATGAGCAGTACTGTGTATGTCAACAGTGCTTGGTTTGTCTTGATTGCGTATATCTCCAGATTTACCAAATTCATGATAAAACATTTTCTCTCAACATGTGCAAGCTTGGGAAATTGAAGAAAATCTTTTGTTGCAAAAAATGAAAATAAGAATTTAAAGGGTCGAAGCTTTCAACCAACCAAGGAGTTAAAGGATGGAAATCTTTTTTTTTATGAGGTAAAAATAGGGCAAGTTGCCCTATCATAATCAGTATATATAATGTATTGAAAACCAAAACACCTTACATAGATATCTACTATTTGCACAGAATCCCCATTTGTAGAGGAGTGGACCTATATCTTCACTCAACTAGAGGAATACTCATGAAATCACTCTTAGATACCCCAGGGATATATACAAAAGTAAGGATTATAAAGTAGCAATCCAAAATCAGGTGTGCTAATTACAAAGATACTGTCCAAAAGATGATGAAAGGTAGGCGTTGGGTCTGTAAGCTCATGCTGATTAATGGATCCCTGCATTCCCGTTGTTGTCTTCACTGGATAACATTAGATCAGAGAAGCCTCTCTCCCAGATGAGATTTTTTAGCTTGAGGGTCTTCTCCGATAATGCTGCAGCGATCCAGAAAATCATATAGTGGTCAATCTTGGAGACCAATTGTTGAGGGGTAGAGGCTATGCCTGAGTGAATGAGGTTATTGTGAGCTCTCCATAGGACCCAGCAGATGGTAGGAAAGCATAATCCTCATAGTTTCCGCACTGAAGTCTCAAACAGACCCATCGAAGCATATATTAATGCTTGGTGTGAAGAGGGAGGAATGTCAATTCTAGGAAGAAGAAACGCCCAAACTTGTTTGGTGAATTGGCAGGAGAGAAAAAGATAGTCGCGTGATTCCTGATCGCTGCAAAAGGAACCTGATGGTCTCCTACCTAACCTTTGTTGAGAAGCCTTTCCTTGGTCTTCAGTTTAGCCATGGAGAGCAGCCAAAGAATCTAGGATGACGAACACCTCCATCGGATAGGAAGGAGTACAGAGATTTAACTGTAAAGATCTTGGAATTATCGTGGGGCCAATAAATCATGTCAATGTTGAGAGAAGGATATAGATTACTTGATGTTCACAGGTAATTAAGAGCTTGAACTTGCAATCTTTCACTTTCCTGAATGGGTCTCATAATGATAGGTCTCCAATGCCAGTTATCTCCGTGAAATCTCCCTTAAATTCAATGGAGACGTATTTGGAGAAGGCAAGGTTGTAGGACTAAGGGAAGAGGCTAGCCAGAGAATTGACTCCTATCCACCTATCCTCCCAAAAGAGGATCCTAAGAACATTACCTAGACGACATTTGACTATGTCTGCGAAGGATTGGTAGCAAGAGGGGACGTCCTTCCAAAATTTGGAGCAATGATAACTAGGTGGTGTGCTATGAGGGTTGGAGGGCAGATGGATTGGAGAACCTGGCCAACATGATAACCCTTCGTAGACATAGTCAAATGGAGTCTAGGTAGAAATCAATTTGAAACACTAGAATTTATCTAGAATTTATCAGCCCTTATGAATAACACCTTGATCCTGCAAGCCTACCCAAAATTGCAGTTTTATATTCATGACCTTCCTGCACTAAGTAGAACTCTGTTCTCTTTATTAAATGCATTGGTTAAGCTCTAGAATATGAAGGACCACAAGCTAAAAATAGGTAATGAACAAGAAAAGATTGATACTCAACTCTAATCTTCGAGTGAGAAACTGAAAGCAGTCAACAACAACTTGATTCCTCCCTCCAAAAACAAAATGTCACTCATTATCAAACTGCGTCAACTTTCACAGCATGTGATGTAGAGAATAAAGAGGGAACTAGATTTACTGTACAACTTGGATTCCATAAGAGCAACATTCCCAACCTTGGCAAATATGCAACATGACATGCAAGAGCATATCGCGTAGCAACTTTCTCCAAGAAATGACACAAAAGGGAAAAGAAATCCAACCAAAACCCTAGCACTAGATACGGGGAGGCAAAAATACCCAATTGCATGAACCCTCCGTTTGCTAAATCCAGAGCTCATTTAAAGCGGTTGCATGCCCAAAATTGCAGATGTTTCCTCTGCGCACCCTGAAGCATTTCTTCTCGCTCACTCTACTTCACATTTGCACCGATCTCCCCCTAAAGCCAGAAAAAGTTTTTTGCCAACCCCTTGTCTCGTATGAGCGTGACAAGAAATCACATCAAGGGTAGTTTAGGGTTCCACGTACGCTTAGTTCCTGTGCAGAGGAGGAGAATCTTAGGTCATTGGGGTTTTTGTGTGGTGAGTATGAGTTGGAGAGGGCAGAAGCTGGAGGCTTACGATTGGTTAAGGTGTCGCTTCCTACTAAGAAACACATTACATCAGTCTTTTCATGTCTCTCAATGTTTGGCATTTTAAAAATGAACACTGAAAAGTTTCGTGAGTAAAGAAAAGAGAGGCATCTCTCGGTCATTCAAAGCGAGGGACGTCTCGTTCTTTCATTTGTTTGATAGGGGAAGGTATTGCATGTGATTGGTGGCGAAGAGGAGAGAGAACCAACAAACTAAAGACGGGATTTTTTTTTTTTTTGTGTGTGTGTGTACAAAACACCAACTTAACGTAACTACAAAAAGGCTGAACCACATTCAAATAGGATTGCTACCTATTTGGCAACTGACTGAGGGAGCCACATCTCAAAGGGAAAGATAAAAAAAGGAAAGGTTTAACCAAATAGTGGCTAGCATGAGGACATCTTGTGTGATAAAACAAGGACTATTAACAAATTCTACAAGTTCTATAGCGATGGTTCAGAATATTTACATTTACCGAATGTTTCTTCATTGTTCTCATCCCTAAAATGGGCTAAGCGAAATAGTAGAGGAAAATAGTGAAGCACGTTAACACCTGAAATTTTCGTCATTACTGTCCAATAAAGGTTGTGTTCAAACTTTCACCAGCATTCTCGCTAACACAGGCAAGGAGCAAACTAAATGTTTGGATTTAAGTCAAATAGGATTGAACAGTCATCACCCATGATAAGATATGTAGGTAAGTTTGTATAGACAAATTGTCAAATTCATGGAGGTTTTCCACCCATATTAGAATTTGAGAATATAGATAATTAAGTACAGCGCCGCTGAACAAATAATAATAAATTAAATGTACAAATACGAACTCTCGCTTAATTTACATATCGTTTATTACAACATTAGTGATACATGTATAAACATATTTTCACTTCATCTAGGTAGGGACTCCAATACTACGTGTAATCGACTGGCACAATTTTACATGGGCCAGGTAGCACAAAATATAACTATTTTGCTACTACAAGTGAACAGAGACAATTAGAGACAGAAAGAACAAACGATTGTATGTGGAAATTATCTCTGCATCTCATCAGTAACTGATCTTTAAATCATACATACCTTCATTGCTCAAGCTTTTATTTCCTGAAGAATCTTAGCAGCCCATTCCCTCTTATTATCAAATCCAGCAAGGTGCACCAAAAAATCTCCCTTGGAATAGGCCCCTACAACCGGGACGATAACAATAGAATCAGTCAGCTCATAGAGTTTTCACCCAAGTTACAAATACGTACAACTTTGTTTGAGAACAAGTGACAAACACAAGGTCATATCATAATGGCTGTATATGTCATGGAATATAAGAGGTAAAATAATATGGCAAACTTAATCTATCCTTTTTCTCCGCTCAAGAAACGAAAGTCATAGATTGATCTTGAACTTGGGATCCCCAAGAACACAACCTGAGCTTCTGTGTAATGGCCCATTAATATTAGTAATATTTCCGGGTAAGAATCTAGGAAATAACGTGACACAAAAACAAAACCCCTACTGCAGTCTTGGTTAATCATATTTAAGCACCTATTTATATTTTACATTATTTAATGAAGGATTAAAATTTCATCCTTTGCCTTTGTCATTTTATTAGTGTTTTTCATGACACGAGTGCTTGTGAGACGGATCTAAACCCCAACCCCTTAACAACTTGATTGTATCCAGCAAGATGCAAAAACAGAGCTTGAGGTTTGGAGATTAACCATCACAGTTCCACCTAATGCATTTGCCAATATACCCTGAAACTATTATCATAGACAACGTGCAAGTACACCCTGAAACTTGTGTTATAAGCATTCCACAACTGTCACCTATTTTTGTGAGTTGTGACTCAGCTAACTATAAAACCTACAACCACTGTTTTAAATAGCGGTGGATAGCGGTGCAATTGCACCTGCAATAGCGTTTGCAGCCTCAACACTACTATTTCAACCATTGCGGACTTCGAATAGTGCCCACACCGCTATTTGCTTGCAAATGCGGCAAATAGCGCGCCAAAGAGCTGTTTATCGCTTAAAAGCGCTAAAAACGTTTTTAAGCACTAAACAACGCTTTTTTTAAGTACCCTACCCAAATCCTACTGAACCCGACCGAAAATAACCTAACCTGTAAAAAAACTCTTCCTTTGATTCTCTCTCTTTTCTCCCGGCAGCCAAACTAAAACCCTAACCCTAACTCCTTTCTCTTCCTCTCCACTCCTCAGCCACCTCCAACTATTTATACATCTCTTCTGTCACATCCAAAGTCTCTAACATCTCCTCCGCCACCTATAACTCCACTCCTCCGTCACCATCAACACCTCCTCCATATCCTCCGCCCCTCCAAGGCTCTAACAGCTCCTCCACCACCTCCAGCTCCGCTACTCCGCCACCATCAACAGCTCCTCCATCTCCTCTACCACCTCCAAGGCTCCAACAGCTCCTCCGCCACGTCCACCACGTCCAGTTCTGCTCCTCCGTCACCTCCAACAGCTCCTTCATCTCCTCCACCACATCCAACAAGTCTATTTCATGCTTAGAGTCTATAAATTATCAAATATGCAATTTTAGAATATTTACATTTTTCTTTTTTTTTTTTTGAATATTTATATTTAAATTAGACAGCTATTTAACTTTGCACTATTTGCCGTTATTTTGCCGCAATAGCCCCAAATAGCCTTAGCGGTAGCTCACCGCTATGCGACTACCACTATCAATAACCTTACCTACAACAATTAGAGATGTTGAGCCTGTGGCATCATACATTATGACAACAACCCCTGAGAACATGACCTTCTCATTTTCTTGTACTCTTCGATTAACATCAATGGGTTTGCCTAATAATCTTAGAACAAAAATGTCTACCCATTTTGGAGAGTTAGGTGCTTGCTATTATCATTTCCAAAATGGGAAAAAAGGTTCCACAATTCTGCCTTATGACCCTTTTAGTTCTTTCTGAAAAGTCAAGCTAGATAGATTAAGCGACAATCGCAAAAGCTTGTACTACTAAACCCAGTCCTTATCAATTCCAATATGGGAAAATAATACCACTCTTCACTCTTGATCTCTCTCAGTTTGTTATCATGAGTCGAACTTTAAAGCACGACCTCGACAAATTTTAGTCTTTTACTACTAAATCTAACCTCAAAGACATATCAATCACATCAATTTCAGCGCATATGTGACCATTATATATTACTAAAAGTGCATGATTTAATTGTTACAAGCATTAACATTGTATATGTAACTCTATTTGTGTGTGTGTGTGTGTGTGTGTGTGTGTATTCTTTATCAATAATTACGTATATTATAGAATGATATCACAACGTCCTTATGACTTATTTTTTAGGACTTGTCAATATTGTGATCCTCTAACCCTGTTAAGTCACACGTCTCATGTTTGTATCAACCATTAACACTATAGAAATTATTACACATTATATCATATCATGAAACACATAAGGACAAGTATGCAAGTACATATTAACCTTTCCAAATAGTTTGAGGTGAGGTGATCAGACGGTAAGCAGATTTCCACGTTAGGTTCCAAACATACGAGTTGAATAGACATTGCATGGGGGATATGCGTACATGATCTCGTAGCTCCTCTGATGTCAAACCATCAACTAGATGCTTCATTGCGGCATTGTCGCCACTTTTGGTGGAACCAAATTGTATAAATGATGTTTGGTTCCACCATTTGTCTAGAAAATCTTTGCTCCAGTTTGATCGTCGTATGAAGAACACTCCTACATATATATAGAAGATTAGAACACCTCAGCAAAGCTTTACAATAATAAATGCATCATTTATAGAAAACCAAGCATAATATAGCGTTTAATACAGTATTACAGGAAAACATAGGTAATTGGAGAATTAATTCAAATGGTGAAAGTGAAAACTAAGCTGCTCCTATTTCTCAATGATCATATACTTCCTCACAACTTTTATGATATAATACAAAACTTTAATTAACTTGTGATAATAGGATTAATAGTTTTTTTGTCACTTTAATGAAAAAGAGGCTTATAAGAAGCCTTATCGTTTTATAAAACCAATCATAGACCATTGAGGACTATAAAAATAATATAGCACAACCGTCTACCAAAATATAAATTTTAATTTAATTGGCTTCTCTATGTAAGCTATAAAAGGTTCAAATGGTTGATGAAGAGCTGCAAAACTAGCCGTCTCTCTCCTCCCACCCTCCACTATCATTTTCCGACTTCAGAACACAAGCAACATCAAAATCATCACATTTTCAGCCCCTCACCCTCCACAAGCTAGATGTTGAATGGCTCTCGCATCCTGTAAGAACTATTTTGCCTTCGAGCGAAGTATGAAGCTCTAAAGTCGGTGGCAGTAATAGACAGTCCTTTCAGTTCGAACCTTCTATTCAAAGGTAATTTAAAACCATCTAAGTCTTCTCCTTTTCTCTTTGTCCGCTCTTCATACCCATCAAGTCCAATTCCAAAGTATCTATTCCCTTTTTTGAGTTTTTGCAGACCATCACCTCCTAAAGATCAATATGTGGTTGCTATTGCTTTTTTAGCCAGGTAGGTCTTAGTACCGGATGAAGCTGTGCCATCTTAAACCTCTACCACTCCATTAAAGCTCCAACCATAGTAAGAGTTGAGAGTTACAATTTTATATGCAATAGTTCAAGTCAATTTCATTAGTTAAAGTTGGTAAAAATAAAGCAATTTAGGCAAGCTACGTGAAGCAGGCCAATCAATCTTAGTTTTGATATTCTCAATTTTTCCAGTGTTCTGCTCAATCTTCACTGCTTCTGCTAAGCTCATGAGGAAAGGAGCAAAAATTTTGGTTACCTATTGTTGAGCTGGTGAAATCTAAAAGGTTAATTGACAGGCTACTGAACCACCAGGTAATCCAACAACTAAAGCAGCTAAGCCGAATTTGGGGAGGCATACATGTGCTGACCCTCCTCATATTGTGAAAATTGCTGGTATTCAAGAATCTGTCACAAGATTATTACCATATTTTCTTGCACTGGTTCAAACATTTCAGTTATCAATCATTATCAGAAACTCAACAATAGCTTTTTAATCATGGAATATTTTTTACGGAAAGAAGTTGGGGCACTTACATAAGTCTGAAGTATGTGAAGGAAGATACACACGATACCATATACAATTCCTCTCAGAAAATATTAATAAAAAGTCACAGGTAGAAACAGGATAAATGTTGGGAATCTACATGTGCTGTTAAGCTCTGGCAGAAAGATTCCCAATTTTGTTGGCCTCAATAAAAACCTTGTGCTAAATTGGTTGTGTAGAAAACTGATTTTGCTATATGAAACTGGCAAAAGAACTGCCTGTTTCATCTTCATTTTGGAGAAAACTCCTGTAATAGAGGCATTTTTCCATATCTCAAATAGTAGCAGTATTTCTCTACAGTTTATCTTTTGAAGTAGCAGACTTCACATAAAGCATGCACAAAAGTCTCCCAATGTGTCAAAACTCAGTATAATTCACCAACTATAAAAGCTAATTTTCACTACAATTAGAATTTTATTTAACTATTTATATACAAATTTTGGACATCTTCATGAATCATATTGTCCCAGTGTTAATCAAATTAATTAGTTGTTTCTACACACATGCGCGCGTGCACACAGAGAAAGCCTCACCTGAATTAATGCCATTAGTGTCCTCAGTTACAACCAAATCATGTGAAGCATGTAAGTCCAAGTGACCTATAGCTGCTTTCAGAATACTCTCCTGTAGAAGCAAGATTCCCAATTAGATTAATATTTCCACTATCACTTCAGGTAATCGCCATCACACGGGAATAAAGAGAGAGACTGCACCTTACCAAAGAAATGTTGGAATTTGTCACCAAGGTGTCCTGAGAAGTCACAATAAATAGATATCAGTATTTGTACATCTCTCATACTTGAATATATTCCCTATGACTTTACAAATTGTCTTTTGCAGCCATGTAACATAACTGCATAACCACAAAATATAGATACAACATAATATGGGTATGGAGGTGCAACAATCTTACAAGTTTAGCACACAAATAGAACATGGATATGGCAATAGTAAAAGGAAAAACTTTATCAATTCAAACTTGAATGGAACTTTGTCGACTTCTCTGACTTCATACGGCCTTAACCACTTAAAGTTCAATTTCCCATTTCCTTAACTATTTATACCTTTTAAGTAACTTCGCTTTTTATTTTTTGTAATTTTTTTCTAATTTTAATGATCTACTTTTCTAATATGCCTAAGTACCACTTTTTGGAAAAATAAACACATTTATCTTTTGTTTACATGTTGTCAAGTACAATTATCTAAATTTTAGGAGTTGTTAAAATCTTGTTGTAACCATTTAAAAACGTTATGAGAATTATCACCTTAGACATCAACTTTTATAGGGTTGATTACAGATACACCATCTGAATTGTAAGGGCTTAACCACTTATTAACCCTGAAATTTTTTTATTAGCTCCTAGATGTTCAAAACGAGTTACCTTTCCGTTATATGTACTATAAGAGGTGTAGTTCAGCACCTATAAAATATTAAGGGATCTCTCAGCAACATAGTATCATGTGATCTCTTTACAACATATTGACGTGACACCCATGTTCAAGTATAGGCAACAAAGATGTAACTCCATTTGGACATCACGGTAGTTAAGTGCTAATAATAATTTAGAGATACAAGCAGAAAACCCACTATAGCACAGGGTATGTATCTGCAGTAGAGCAAAATTTATATTAGTGTCAAGTCATATCTATTCACAATCCACAACATACTTTCCTCAACCATTTTCGAATTCCTGACAAAATTGACAACTCATTCTTCACTCATCACTAGGCTAGTCCATATGCTATTCTTGTTTCCACCTTCTTAGCTGGCGACTTTAAACAAACAAGCCATCCAGGGGCGAAGGCACTTAATAGAGGGTAGTGTCATTGGACACCACACTCTAGCAAAAAATCAAACTAGTATATACTAGTTTATTACTCATTAGTGCAACCATTGATTCTTATACTATTGTAAAAGTGGATGAGGATGTTAAAAACATTTGTTTCTCAAAATGCCCTCTAATACATGCCTACATACATACATGAAAACATAGATTCTCAATATGAATGTGATAATTGCCCCCTTCAACACATACAAACATACATAAGCACATACGTATATACATACATGCATGCATGCATACATGCATACATAATACAAATTCAGTATGTTTTCATAACTCTCATTTCCTAACCACCACCAATTAAATTCACCATGAATTACACTAAATCAAATCAAATATAATCCCCTATTAACAAAATATTAATCCCACAGCTTTTTAAATCCCAAAATCATAACCCTCACCCCATTATGTATGATCATTTCTCTCACCCCTTCCACAGAAAACATACAGAGGCATATCAAGTCAGGTTATCCTCTTGATATTTTCAATCCTATATTAGGTTATACTTGATAACCACTGGGCATAAATTATATGTGTTTTGCATTTAGTTATGTTATGTTGGTTCAGGGATTGCAAATGGAGAAGAGTTGGAACAACTCAAGACTTTTGATAGCATTTTTGTAAAATTATAAAAGATTGGATGTAAATAGCAAATGATTGAGGTAAGCATTATATGCTTTGAACCTTGAAAACATACAGAGGCATATCAAGTCAGGTTATCCTCTTGATATTTTCAATCCTATATTAGGTTATACTTGATAACCACTGGGCATAAATTATATGTGTTTTGCATTTAGTTATGTTATGTTGGTTCAGGGATTGCAAATGGAGAAGAGTTGGAACAACTCAAGACTTTTGATAGCATTTTTGTAAAATTATAAAAGATTGGATGCAAATAGCAAATGATTGAGGTAAGCATTATATGCTTTGAACCTTTGTATTCAGTGCTCATTTCAATTATTATGTCATTACTTAAGCAATTAAGTTGGACATCTACAATTGATTCAATGTTCATCCTCAAATTATTTGATATTTGAATGCTTAGATTTGTACAGAATAGCCAATCCCCGAGAGTTATCTATACTTAAATAGAAACTCTATAGTCAAGTGAGGCTTTGTCCAAACTCTTTGATATTTGCATGTGCACGTAGATACACTAAAAAACCTCTTGAATATTTCCATGTAAATTGCTTCCTGCTTAGTGCTCGGATTTGCACGAATCCCCTCATACATAAATTTTAACCCCATCATCAAACTCTTTGTAAGAAAAACACTAAGCATGGTATCACTCTTTTCCAGTGTATCTCTTCTCGTTTCCTTAGTATAAATTAAATAGATTAATTTGATATTTAAGTGCTTAGATTGGTGCTTACAGTTTTTTTAAAACAAGGATTAGTGCTTCCAAGTGAGGGCATTGATTTGAGGAATTGGTCGAGATTTCAGTGGTTGAGGCTTATGGCCTAGGCAGCAAATTGTAGGAAGAATTGCTCTTTCTAGATTCAAGAACATTGATGACATCGACCAAGGTTTTAAATGTCGGCTGACATGTTGGACATGTCGGCCGACATGTCAGTTTGATGGCTCGAACGACAGGACTTGGATAATTTCAAGTCATATGTCATTTTTCAGGTTTAAATCGAAAATGTCAGGGATATATTAATCATATCGGCCGATTTTCAGCTTTGAAAAATCGGCCGATATAATTGTTTTCCTGCTTTTTTTCTAATTCGGGTTTAGGTTTAGTGCTGAAAACCCGAACTCATTCCCCTTTTGACCTGTTCTGAGAGATATGAACCCAATAGAAAAACAAAAAAAGCCTAGGGCAAAATCGCTCCTCGTCCTCGTCCTCTCTCTCCCTCATCCTCATCGCTGCAGGGTCGGAACCGTCACTGTCTTGTCCTCTCTCTCTCTCTTCCTTGTGAGGCTATAACTTCGGAACCATCGCCGCCTCTTCCTCTCTCTTCCTTGCGACGTCAGAACCCAACGACGACTTCAAGCTTCCCTCTGGCCAGTCACAGTGAGTCTTCTTCTATCTCTCCCTCTTTCTCTCATTCTCTCTCTTGAGTCTCTGATTCTCTCTCTGAGTCTCTGTCTCTCTCTCGATCTCTTCGTCTCTCTCTCTCTGAGTCTATCTCTCTCTCAATCTCTTCGTTTCTCTCTCAGTCTCTCTCTACTTCTCTGGTTTTTTTTTTTTTTGCAGTTTGTGCTGAGCAAATTCTAGAGCTTTAATCTTATTCTTCATTTTGGTTGTTTTTCAAAATCAATTACTAACTTAAAAGTTAAAATCAAACATCATATATTATTTACTTTTTTATATGTTTAGACAATAGAATTTATAAAGTATGCTTAAATTAAATTTAGGAATGTTTAGATTATATTTAGGATATGATATTATATATATGCGCACCACCTGATATGACAATCAGATATTTAGTCCATGTCTCCCGGCGTATCTCCGATTTCAACCGTCCGACATGAACCCGACATCCAACATTTAAAACCTTAACATCGACATAAAAACCATCGAAGCATATATCTAACCTCAATAGACAGCTTCTCTTCTGGTCTTATATTTTCTATTATTTCCGGTCTCATACAATAATATGGATATTACATGTCATTGAATAGCTTTCTCGATATAAAAGTGAAATCATACTATATAAAATTTTTATATTTGCTTTTGTATTCAATTTCTTTTTGTCACTGGATAACTTTGGGTCTCAATAATCTGCTTCTCTATGATATTCAATTGTTTGAGAGGTTATTTTCTCCATAATTCTAATTATAAGAAAAAAAATTCTATATATGTATGGAAAAAATATATTTTAATTGAATTACTTCATCCAATATCCTAACTATAACAACACATTGATTTATACATTTTAAATTATGTTAAATAAAAAATATTTTAAATATTATTAACTATATATTTAAAATAGTAAAAATGGAAGTGTTTAATGCATTTCAGAAGGAATGGAAAATCCATCTCTCTTTATGCCTATCTAAATGCTTTTTTATTAAAGCAATCTCTCTTTTGATACCCCTTATTGTAAATGTAATTGGAAAGGTAGAGGAGCTGGGAATTCCAAAAGTATACCAGCTTGGAATTTCAAATGTGTGTTACATAGATATAGGAGAGAGCCTTTATTTTTTATGAATTACTCTATCTATTCAAATTAATGACAATTTATCAAGGATCCAAGAGAGAGCTTTTATTCCTTCTGAATTTACCCACATTGACACCCATTCTTTCATTATAAATTCGTACAACGAACCCTTCAAGAACTTAAACGATTTGCAGGAACACCCAATGAATTACATTTTTGCAAAAAGACCCATAGACTTACAAAATCTGCATAAATACCCAACAGACTTTTAGAATATGCAGATTTTGTAAAGAAATCCACCGAACTTGCACTAAAACCAAAAGAATTCCAAACACTGTAAAATTTAAAAAAAACTTACCAAATTTACAAAAAAAACCCAAAATGCTTCCAAAAACTATGAATTTTTATAGAAAAGTACCCAGATTTATTAAAACATTGGAAACTGGCAAATTTTAAAGAATACACTAACTTTCCAGTTTAAAGAATAAACTGGAAATTTCTGAAACAAACTGAATCTTTAGTTTTAAAGAATAAACCCTAAAAATTGCAAAAAGAGCCTTGAAAATTCACATTTTTAGGAATTCAGAATACAAAAAAAATATTATGATATGCAATGCACGTGCATTATACTAGTAAAGTTAAAAAGTGATTGATGGCTCACTTAAGATTTATCTATAGTGGGCCAAGATTTAAATGATCCAATCCCAAAAACTCGTGTACCAAATAGTTAACATCATTTTTAAAAAAGAAAAATAAATAACTTAGTAACTTATATTGAAAAGGATCGTCTATAACACAGTGCGGAAGTTGAAATCTTAGAATCCACTAAGGGGTGCTCCACGAAGAACGAAATTTGAATCCACGAAGATGTATAAGAGAATTTTTATTGATAAAAAGTGATAATCATTCTAGGGTTACAAGCCTCTTCTTAAATAGAAAAACAAAGTAGATTCCCAACAGGACTGAAATTACAAAGAAATTAAAAGTATCAAATTCTACAATAAAAAAGAATCTCCATGATTGAGGAAACTAATTGGTCAAATCGAAGATCAAACCGGATTTGTTTCCTAATCAAAACAAGACCCTAATGTATTATTAAAAAAACCTAAAAGCTGATTATTTCTGAAATTCTGCTTAAAATGAGTACTACGGATAGAATATTGGGAATCATTCAATGCAGACAACTCTGATTTTCATAATAATATGTTAGATTCTGGTCTCCAGATTAGGAGATATCGCTTTTCTTTGTGGTCAAGTAAACGATGCATCCGTATTCACATTTGGCTCATGCCGGTCCTACATTAATCTATGAAATCGAACGGTTCATAAAAGGATAAACTACAAATTAGTAACTTACATTAAAAAGTACATAACTGTAATTGTACTTAGTTAAATATATTTTGTTAATCTCATTAACCTGATAATATTGAATATAAGAGAAAAACAACTAATATCATCTTCTTCTATACATGTGACACCACTATTATGAATTACTAGCTCCGCTGCTGAAACCACAAAAGGATAATTTTGGTCATGCATCTTCCCTTCCCATTCTCTACCCTAAACACAGATTTATAGTCTGTTCCTACGCAGAAACCTTTTTTTTTAAAGAACTTGTCAAAAACTAAAGTAGCACGGATGGACTCACAGCGTCGTTCCAGAAAACCCAATCATATCGGTCCAAATAGTGACGAACGGCCAAGATCTTGCTCCAATTAGGCGGACGGCTGCGATCAACCAAGCTCCTCGCATCGAGGAAATCATACCCCATCCTCTCCGCATACGACCTCTTGTTACCCTCGACCAGCGCCATCAGGCCCTTGAACGACCGCTGACGTGGCGCCCTTTCGTCTTCCTCGTCGCGAGAGCTCACCAATCGCTATCCTCAGGCGTGATGACCGTGGGGGGTAGATTGGCGTAGACGAGAGTGAGGAGGATTTGGATGTGCTAGTAGCGCTGGCCTGAGGGCGTTGGCGCGGCGGGAGGGCCGGCGGAGGAAGGAGGGGGGGGGGGATGGGAATGAGGGGGAGGAGGGGGAGGAAGACGGTTGTGTTTAGGGTGTTTGGGGTGGGGTTTTTGGTCGTCGGCGATGAGGAGCCATTTTGGATGGAGTGGGGCATTTTGGAGGATTGAGGCATTCGTAGAGGGGTTCGTCGTGAGGGAGGGGTGGTAGCGAAGTGTCTTTACATTGGCAAACCGCTTCTTTTCTTTTTTTAAAAAAAATCTAAGGGAGCGTTTGCAAACCAAGGGGTTTTTGCCGTTTTTCGCTTTTTTTTTCAAAAAAAAATAATGAAACCTGTGTTTGGCAACCGGGGCTGATTTTTTGACTGACCCTTCTACAAAACCAAAAAATAACGATTTTTCTTAAACACCAAAAATGTGTTTTGAGGATTCCGTTTTTTCATCTAAGTCGTCGTCCATCCGCCGCGCGCCGTCGCCCGCGCTGCTCGTGCGCCGTTCCGCAGCCGCCGCCTTGCCACCACCCCGCCGCTGTCGCCGCCTGTGCCGCCGCCCCTCCCACCGCGGCCCTAACCGTCCGCCGTCCCGTCCGCTGCCTGTCGGCCTGTCCGCCGCCGCCGTCGCCAGCTGGCCGTTTTTTCATTCTAAGCGCTGCCTCGGCGGCCGCGCGGGCGCCGCTGCGCGTCGGCCGGCCGCCCGCTGCCCGTCGGGGCCGCCGCCTGCCCGTCGGCGCGGCCGCTGCCGGTAGGTGGCGGCGCCGGTCCGCCGCTGCCGTTCGCCGCCGTGCCCGTCGGCCGGCGCTTGGCGCCGCGCCCGTCGGCACGGCCCGCGCTGCCCGTCGCCGCCGCCGCCGACTGCGCGTCGGCCGCCGCACCCGCCCGCCGCCGCGCTGCTCGTCGGCCCGCCTGCCGCCCGCCACCACCACCGCCGCCGCGTCGGCTGCCGCGCTGCTGTCGGTCGGCCTTCCGCCGCTGCCGTCGGCCGTCGCCGCCGCCGCCGCGCTAGCAGCCGCCGCATCGCCGCCAGCGCTGCCCGTCGCCGTCCATCGCCCGCCGACGCCGGCTGCTCGTCGGCCGTGTTCACCGCCCGCCGTCGACCCGCCGCGCCGTCGCGCAGTCGCCGACTGCGCGGCGACGCTCCGCAAGCCCGCTCTGGTGTCGTCCGCCCGCTGCCGGTCGAACGATAGTCATCGATCGCGCCGCCAGGCCATCCGCAACCGCTACGCCCGCCGCCTGCCCCTCGCTGTCGGTCGTCGTCCGTGTCGTCGCAGTCGTCACCGCCGCCCCGCTCCTTGCCGCGCTTAGCTCCGCTCGCCCGCGATTCCTCTTTTTCATCTAGTCGTCGTCCATCCGCCGCCCCGTCGCCGTCGCTTGCTCGTCGGCCGTTCCGCAGCCCGCCTTGCCACCACCCCGCCGCTGTCGCCGCCTGCCGCCGCCCCTCCACCGCGGCCCTATCCCGTCCGCGCGTCCCCGGTCCGCTGCCTGTCGGGCCTGATCCGCCTGCCGCCGTCGCCGCCTGGGCCCGTTTTTTCATTCTAAGCGCTTGCCCCTGCGGCGGCCGACGCGGGTCGGGGCGCGCTGCCGTCGGCGGCCGCCCGCTGCCCGTCGGCCGGCCGCCGCCTTGCCCGTCGGCGGGGCCGCTGACCCGTCGGGCGGCCGCCGCTGCCGTCGCGGCCGCCCGTTGGGCCCGTCGGCCACGGCCGCGCTGCCCGTCGGCCGCCGCCGCCGACGCGCGTCGTCGCGCACCCGCCCGCCGCCGCGCTGCTCCGTCGGGCCGCCTGCGCCCGCCACCACCACCGCCGCCGCTGTCGCTGCCCGCTGCTGCGGTCGGCCTTCCGCCGCCTCGTCGGCCGTCCGCCGCCCCGCCGCGCTAGCAGCCGCCTGCAGTCGCGCCAGCGCTGCCGTCCGTCCATCGCGCCGACGCCGGCTGCTCGTCGGCCGTTTCACCGCTCCGCCGTCCGCCGCGCCGCCCGTCCGCAGTCGCCGACTGCCGGCGACGGCCCGCCAGCCCGCTCTGGGTGTCGTCGCCGCTGCCGTCGACGATAGTATCGATCGCGGCGCCAGCCCATCCGCAACCTGCTACCCCGCCGCCTGCGCTCGCTCGGTCGTCGGCGGTCGTCGCCAGTCGTCACCGCCGCCCCGCTCCTTGCCGCGCTTAGCTCCGCTCGCCCGCCTATATAAATAATAACTATAAATTGTGTTTCTTTTTGTAGTGTTTTTTTAAAAAACACCATACCATGGTGTTTATTTTTCAAACGTGTTTTCACTTTTTTATATTTCAAAATTTTTCTATTGACATGAAAATGATAAAGTGATCCGAAAGAAAGAAAATTTTGGAGTAACATATTAGAAAGATTTTTGAGTGTTTGCTATAATAGTGAAATTATCATATATAGTTTAGAGTATTACTCATTCTCTTCTTTTCCTCATGAGAACGGAATATTTTTTTATTAGTATGTTTTGAGCTAGGTAAATGGTTTACCTAAGATAACTGGAATTTGACCTTTAAATATTGGAAACGGGCTACGTTTTCAAAACTATAAAAACCACAAGAATAATGAAATCTCCAACCTTGATCAAAACATCATTTATCTCTCCCTTGTGAATTTTTACGGATCTATCAGCTAATTGTATGGTGCATCTAGTCGATTTCAGTTCACCTACACCTAGCTGTTGATAGATTGAATAGGAAAAAGATTTACGCTAGCTCTTAAGGGGAGATTATTGGTTGGTGTAATTTTAGGGTAAGTGGGATAATTTTGGGACTTTAATTTATGGTAGTATTCATTGGGACAATAAGATTGGGACAATGATCCCCACTTTTCCTAAAATTATCCCACTCCTATATAAATTTTTTGTCTCAACCTCCAAATTTTATCCAATTCTTAACTTTGGGACAATCATGAGGAAAGTGGGATAATTTTGAAGCACTAATTTCTTAAATATTTAATATATGTTAATTTTATTATAATATATAATATATCTTAATTATATTATATTATAAAATTCTATTATAACATAAGATAATAAAATATTATATAATATTTTTTAATATAACATTATATATCATTATTACAGGTTAATAATATTTCATATATTATAATATTAGTATTATATTATTATTTATAATAAATTACTATATATTAAAGTATGATAATATAAATAAAATTAATATAATATATTATATTATTTAATAATATTTTTTAATTATTAATATTGAACATATTAATAGTATATTATGGTTATTATAAATATTATATTTTAATAAGGAGTCATGTCATCAATTATTCTATTTAAATTATAGTAATTATCATAAAATAAAAATAAAATATTATATTTTTAATAATGATATAATATTATAAATAATATTTTATTAAATTAAACAAAATATTATAATATTTGATTAAATATTATATTAAATATATTATTTGTATATTATATCAATTAGTATATAATATATCATATTATTATAATATATTATATTATATTAATTAATAACATTAAATATAGTTATAATTAATTAGTAATTATATATAATATATTATATTTTAGTATAAAGTAAAATAACGTATTATATTATAATAACATACCAAATAATATACTAAACCAATTAAGTAAATTAATTTAGACTTAATTAATAGATAAATATTGCACTTTAAGAAGTGTCACATCATCAATTATCTCAGATGAATTGTCAAATCAAAATATCAAGTTGTCTCATTATCCTAAATTGTCCTACTTTACACCACTTAAAATATCCTAAAAGGACAATTTGGGATAAAATTATTTCATTAGAACAATTATCCCACTTACCTCCAACTTGTCCCAACCAATAACCCCCCCCCCCCCA